AGTAGCTTCATCTGGTCTGTTCCTGTTTGGCTCTGACTCCATCCTGGAGAGAAATATCAGCTGTGCTGCTGCCATCAACACCCTTGTTTATAGGTGTTGGAGATCAGCCTGTTTTTCAGTGTAGTCCTGTTTCTCTGACTGTGACTAACTGGATGTGCTCTCATTCATCATCTGACATGGGAGCTGGCTCAGAGCTCGTCTGCCTGGCTGTGTGTTTCCTGGACGGAGCCGCCTTTTACAGTTGCCTTTTGTGTCTCTCCCTCTGTCTCCTTGAACCCCAGTGGGCCTCAGCAGATGGCCGCTCACACTGAGCCTGGTTCTGCTGGAGGTTTCTTCCTGTTAAAAGGGAGGTTTTTCTCTCCACTGTCGCTACAAGCATGCTTAGTGTGAGGGATTGTATTTGAATCAATTAGTCGATGCAATCAACTGGTTTTCCTTAGATAGAAATCAACCATAGAATCAACCTGACTGGATGATCTGGTTGAACTATAAAGTGCCTTGAGATGAATTGTGTTTTTGTGAATTGGCGCTATAGAAATAAACTGAATTGAATTGAATATATGAAAAAAAAAAAACATTTTGTAAATGTACATTTGAAATAAATAATAATCCTCTCAATCTAATCTAACTAGAATAACTGAAGTAACTTTGCTGATTTTTCACATTTTATTTTTTCAAGGCTTGTTTACTCAGATTTTACTTTTAAAATGTTGTTTACATATTTTATATATATTCAAAAAAATGTTAACATATTTTCACATTTTTTTCATTTTGGGTTTTTTTCCCCCAAACGTCTGCGTTTCAGGTTGACTTTTACAGATCACAGACTCCTCAGGGGGCGGGATTTCCTCTTGAATGAGGGATGAAGATGCATTCCTATTGGTCTGCATTAATGTTAGAAACAAGCCTGCATTGATCACTGTGTGCTTCTTGAATAAGCCTTTGAATTGGGCTTTCAGTAAAGAAAATGACATCTGTGAAAAGCTATTTTAAAGAATTAATTTTTGAAATCTCAATCTACAAAACAGAAATTTAATTTATTGTTTTACAACATGACAAAATGTTAAAAGTCACAAAAGGATAAAAACCTTTGCAGGACTCTGTGGATACCCGACAAAAAGCACAGAAATATGCAAATAATGGATTAATCTAGAAGATCTGCCATTATTGTAGTTATCTTACCACAACGCTCAGTTTCAGGCTCTCACAGACGGAATTAGACGACTTCAGAGTCAGAGATCCAGAATATGTCTGGTCATTATTCTGGAAACGAACTCGAGATATTCTTCTTCCTGCGTCCGCGTTTACTGTGAAATCCACAACTTACCAAAGAAAAGACATAAACAAAACGTCACAAACAACCAACTGAAATTTGAATACATCAAGTTTTAGATTTTATGTCAAAGCATCTTACTGATATTTTTCTTAAAGTCTTTGTTTCCGTTGCTCAAAGTGAATGCCAGGCACAGATTAACGGTGATGCTGCAAAGTAAAAGAAAGTAAAGCAAATTCATTCATGCCAAGTAGATTGGAGTTTTATATTTTAGAGACATGTTACCAAGGATTATTCCCACGACACTGGTTAGGATCCACAATCTTGGGCTCAGCAGTGAAGTTTTTGGTCAGATGAATCACAGGTCGAGCTCTAAAAACCATCACATGAACATGTTCACCATTTGTTCTCAATGACAAACAAAACCTTTCTGTTACACAAATAGCTCTTTATCTCAATAGTATAGTAGTATAGAGTACATTTAAAGACAAGTACTTTTATCAGCATTGCATTTTACCACACTTTTTACTTTTACTCAAGTTACATCCTTTTGGGGTATTGCTGCTCTAACCTGAGTAAGATTTCTGGTTACTCTACCATCATGACAATTTGAGATTAGGTGAACAAAGTAAAAATGTTATCCAGATAACAAAAGATGTTAAGCCAGTGTTAGATTATGGTTAAAAAGGCTGATTTAGGGTTAAGCTGAATGATTGATGGTGGACCCATCAAATATTCATCAAATTAACTGAATTAAATGTTGTTTTGCGTTTGTCTATTGACTGAAATCAAATCAATGTTGAACCCTTTGCTGTTTGGTGAAAAAACTTTTCTAATGGGATTTACAATGGATTTAAAGATCTTAACTTAATTAAAATCAACACAACAGTACATGTGGATCAAAACTGAGAGACTGGTTTAATCAATGCTGATTTAGTATCAGTTATGGTTGAAAACCTACTTTTCATATGAAAAAATATGTTATCTTTTCATACCGTTTTAATGTAAGGTTTTAACATGGATTCTGTATTTAATCCAAATCATATTTCAAGTTCATTCATATCCTGCTATACTATACTATACTAAATATGCATTGCCTAAAGCAAGGATTGTTATTATAAGTGAAAACGCTGATTTAGAAAACAGCTTTTTTAACTGAATTTGTTATTTTGTAACAGGGAAAGTGGTGGCCTAGTGGTTAGGGCAGAGAACTTGGAATCCTGAGTTTCTGAGTCCAAGTCCCACAGACTGCCACTCTGGGTCTCTGAGTAAGACCCTTAACCCCTGATTGTCCCCTGAGCGCCGCACCATGGCAGCCCACTGCTCCCCAAGGGGATGGGATAAATGCAGAGAGTTAATGTGAGATCAATAAAGTTCAATTATTATTAATGCTGTTTAGGTTTATTTTGTTTGCACATAATGCTGTATAATTGTTATGATCTGCCATTTTGGGATTTTTGGTTCTGTTTAGTTTTCACTTTGGGTTTTCAGTTGATTTATGTTATTCTGTTTTTACTTTTATGAGTTATTTTTTTATTCTTATTGTTCCTGTTTGGTGTTTTTTTTTAGTTATCTCCTATTCAGCAGACTGTAGTCTTTTTTGTCATTCATTGTTTACAGTTATCTTTAGGATATTTCCCAGCTACTCTCTAGATGCGCAGCTGACCAGCGGTGTTGTAGAAGGCCGCACTGGGTTAACGCGGTGATTTCATCATCTGTCAGACGCGCGCTTCAAAACACTCCAAGCCGCTTCTTGTAATTGCAATCATCAATTTATACCATTTGGCCGTCATAATCCAGACTTTACATTGACTGACACATACTGACCAGGCTACACCATTCTATGATGCCAAAAATAAAGCTACAATATAGCACGGTCAACAGAAATTACAACCACCACCAGCGCACCCGCTTTCTCATTCATCTAAAATTCAGCGCGCCAGAATGACTCCTATTCATACCTTAGTGACGCTCACGCCCACCTTAGACACACCCACCACCCAGGTGTCAAAGCGTGTGCTGGTGTCACATTAGTAATTGCTTATTTTGATCATATGGCTCTTACACTCTCCATTGCCCCCTAGTGTCATCTTCCTTCCCCTTCTCTGCACAGCTTTTCCCACTCAGTTCATTACTCCAGTCTTTGTCCTGTTAGTCTCCTCCTCAGTGTATATATACCGTTCATCTGCAGTTGGTTTTTGCTGGATCGCCATCATTGTGTCACGTCTTCATCAGTTCCTGTCACTCACCTCCTATTAACTCTATTCTGTTGTTCCTTGGATGTTTAATTTATCTGGACGTGTATTTTGGCTGCAATAAATCTACAGGAAATCTTCTCTGCCTCAGCCTCTGCATTTTGGGTCCAGCTGCAAATTTATCCTCTTGCTGATAATAATATTATTATCATTTTAAACATTCAGTTTCATGTTACAAGCCAACATTGGCACTTGAGGAGCCATTTTAAAAAGTATTTTTTTTTTGCTTTTATTGAATAATCTCTTATTAGACTATTGAATCAAAGGCATATTAAAATTGTACTCAAGTGTGAAAACGACTTGTGAAGGTCGGCAACTCTCTATATAATATCTTGGCTTCTTTTTTTTATTTTCTATGCCATCAAAGTCTGAAAAATGTAAGTAAGCGTCTCTAACTGGTGGAAATTTTGTAAGCAACATTTTTATGGCATTAAGCTAATGGAACAAGTTTTTTTATCATAAAAGACTTGAAAAAGGGAAAAGTTGCCTAAAGTATCACCATTTTGTACAAAATATAAAGAACAATTGCTTTCATTTAAAAATCAATGAGAATATTTTTTTTTTTGTTCTACCTCAGAAGCGCTATGCGGTCATCCAGTGAGCCCACTAAGATGTCAGGGTAACTGTTGCCATCCACATCCATGCCTCCGTTGATGGAGTAACCAAAAGTCCGGAAGCCCTCTTGCGACTTACCCTTAATTACCTTTAAGAGAGAAACAGTCACAAGTTATATTAAAAGGACTTAACTAAGCTGCAAGAGTGGATGACAGAGACCAGGACTGATGTTACCTGACTGGGCTCCTGTGAAATTCCCGTTTTACTTCCCATCCATATGTAGACCTGTCCTGTTTCATGAAAAGGCGCCCCTACTGCAAAGTCTGCAAAGGACAGGAGAAACACCTCCAGTAAGCAACCAACAGCAAGTAAGTACAACAGCCTCTTGGTAAGGCCATCGTTAATTTCAATTCCAAAACCCATTTTCAGTCCAGTGAAAAGCTGAAGATCAGAAGTAATCTTCAGTTTGGAACAAAATTAGCTGTTTTTTAGAAACACAATAAGCCTCTGCTTCATGTTTTAATCTTCTGAATTAGAGTAAAAGAAAGGTCATGTTCAGGGACTCACCTTGGAATCCGTCCTGGTTGACATCACCGATGGCGGCGACTGCAATGCCGAACCCGGAGAAAGGCAGACCTCTCAGCATCACGGTGCAAGTGCTCTGGAAAGATCCATTCTCGTTCATGAAAATGTACACCGCTCCTCCCTTCTCTTCTTTGCGATCAAAGTAAAAGGGGGCGCCTATGATCAGGTCATTCCAACTGGGGGGGTCCAAAGAAAAAAATGTATTAAAATAATTAAAACTTAGAGAATAACAATGAAAAGTTCAATGCTGTTTTTAGGGATTCCATCCAATATTTGCACACAAAATGAGATACTTTGAAGGGAAAGGTCTAAGATACATGGTTTTTAACTTTGTTTTAACAGATAAAAATCTGAAAGGTGTGGCATACATTTGCTGTGAGTCCTTAAAAAAAGTTTAAGTCTTCACAGTTGACATTTAATTCTTCTTTTCTCTTTCTTTGGCATTTATTGTCATTACACTGTCACAAGTACAGAGCAACAAAATTAACTGTCTGCCTTCAACCCATCCCATGAAAATCTCTGCTGGTGAAGATTCTTAGTCATCCAGGTCATAGTCATTCTAAAAAGGTAAAAACAAACAACTGGATTTGGTTTTCCAAGTCTGAAGATGTTTTGCATCCAATCCAGGGAGCGTAAAAATGGCTGGAGTGGCATTTGAAACAAAAAAGTAACTGAAAGATGCTGGTGGCAGCATCATAGTGTGGGACGATCCTACAGAATAAAATCCTAAAAAATAAAGTTAATGATCTTCTGTGGCTTCAAAAAGACATACATCTGTAACCACAGTGTAAGCATGTCAAACCTCTTCATATTTTCATATGGAAACAAGTTAACCACCATGTATCATACATATAATCAAAGAATACTTAAAGGTTTTGCAGTTTTAGAACACTGTTGCAAAAAACAACCTTGTTATCTGTGCAGAAACTTACTCATCGTTGTTTAGGTCAGTGGCAGCCAGGCTGTTCCCAAAGTAAGAGCCCACTTGTTCTCCCATGATGGTGTGTTTTACGTGAAACTTTCTATTTTCTAGCTCTGCCAACATCACGGAGCCCTTGGACTCATCCCTGGGGGCCCCTGTCACATGTGTGTAGGATTCATGGTTCAGCAACTTCTTCTCTGATATAACTGAATAACCTGCAAAATGAAGCATTAAAGGATAAGTGAAATAAATCTGCAGATATTGAGATAGCAGAGATATCATTTTGGTCAGGCAACTACACTTAATATACCAAGGCACCATTTTTCTGACCTAAAACCTTAAGAAATATCCTGAAAATCTACTTTTCATGCCAAAACGTGCTTTAAGTCACATGCGATTGGAAGGTTGTAATTATATTTAACTAAAGAGTCTGCCCTACCTGCCCTGCTCTATAACAAAATGCTAAACTTCTGTATTCTGTATCCTTGCAACAAAAAAAGGGGTATGCAAAGGGATCCCAATGAGCTCTTTTAATTAAAATCTCTCCTAGGAATGATTAAATGTAAAATCTAAAGACCATTTCAGAAGGATTGTAAATCACTTATCGTTAAGACTCCTTTGCATACTATGTTTTTTTATTGTTTTAAATCAAATCCACCAACATCATTGCTTATTAGCTCTCTAACTATGAATAAATCCTTTTTTGAGACTTTGTGATAATAAAGAATATTTTACTAAAGAATTAATTTTGTGAGCATAAGTCCATTGTAGAAAATAATTGGAAGGCAATTAGGTGCACAGTTACGACGAAGCACACGTACAAAAAAAAAAAAAAACAAACAGACAAGGTATTTTTAAGATTTTATGCAAGTAAATAAACACCTGTTTAGGCAACATGCTGCAGTCAGTTTAAACTCTGTAATCAGAATTTGAAACTGAGGCATTTTTATCTTATTTTCTCTCAAAATATTGTAAAAGAAAATCATTTTGTTTTTCAGTCTAATATCTCTAACCTTGAGAGAATTAATGTGAATCATCACCAACATGCAGCACGCTTATTGATTGTTTTTTACTGATGCTAGCTTTAAAAAAATTTCCGTTTGACCTTTAAAGCCTGTGTTTTTATTTCCTGCTCCGCACAGCATTCACAGAAGATAAGCACTCACCCATATAACTGTGTTTTTTCTCCAGTGTCCCAATGTTGAAGTTTTCAGAAATAAAGGGATTATCTGGATCCCTCAAGGTTACATGGACATTTCCTGTACAACAAAGCAAAGCCAGACAATCATCGGACCAACTTCAACTACAGAGAAGGGAAGCTTGGCCAGCAGCCTTTAGGTTCTCACCTTGCCATAAAAAACTGCCCGGAGCTCCGAGGAAGACATCGTTCTCTGTTAAGCCACCAGAGATGCCCAGGTTGCACATTATCTCATCTTCCAACTTTTTACCAGGGTCACAGCGCTCATAATAATCACTCTGCCATTCATCTGAGTCATCAAATGTTAAATCGTTGTCCCTTACGTAGCACTTTCCAATCATCTGCCTCTGCTCCCCAGGCAAGACCTTCACATAACGATGACCACATGCCTGCAAATGGAAAGCTGTGGTTTTATTTACTAGCTGATAATGTCATCATTCCATCATTAGAGCCCCAATGAGATGCCAAGAGAATAACCAGAGTAACTAGGCTTTTCTCTACATGTATAAAGCAGAGTATTGCAGTGTTGATTATCCTCCACAATAACATTCTAATGATTGTCTATATTTATTTCTGTTTGCAAATATAACAACAATGAAACAAGAAAAAAGAAATAGAATAAAAAGCCAAAACAACTTTATATACTTGGAGAAAGTATGTCAGATTTTAACATTTTAACGACAATCGTCAAATATTTGATATCTAAGAAGATGCAGAACCCAGCGCCACACATAATTTGTGCAAATTAGTCTAGTTAATTTTTCCTTTTCTTTCCCGGCTTTAAATCTGTAAAATGGCCTGGATTGCCTGCAGGGATATAGTTTCTCTCAGCAGTGGAAGTTTAGGACAAAAATCATGAAATGATGCCTAAAAAAAATGCCTTAAAAAATAAATAAACTATTTTTCACTACATGTCATCTGTGAAAAGTCGGACCTAAAATGTATCCCCTTATTTGTGTGGCTGAAATGCTTGATGTTAGTGTGTTTTCAGGGGTAGCACTGATTAATACAGTGAATTATCTCACCAGCACGCGCCCTTCTTCAAGGCTCCTCTGACTGATAACTGTCACACCCAGCCACATGCCATCCACGATCTCTGATGTATCAGCTGTGAATTTGGAACAAAGGCTCAGAGTTAGAGTCACGATTATTTTGAGTTTAATTCAATTAAATTTCGATTCAATTCTGTTTATTTACATAGCGCCAATTCACGACACGTCATCTAAAGGAACTTTACAGACACAATTCAACCAGATCACATCAGTTTAACTGATTAAATTATACGCTGATTTTTGGAGCCTATATTACTTTTCTTCCTCCATTTACATTCTAGATATTCCACTCAATTCAGTTTATTTATATAGCGCCAATTCACAACAAATGTCGTCTCGAGGCACTTTACAGTTCATTATGACACAATAATGACAAATGTTACACAAGTCTGAATTTAATCAAAAAAGGAACATCTGTTAAAAAAAAAAACTAAAAAATATAACATCAACATTTGATAGCAAATTATGGAGCTAAAATGGGGCCATAAAATTTGTTCTAAAACCTAGAAATCATTTATAAAACTGAACATGCAAATGTTAACAGTATTGCTCAGGTTCCAGATTTTATTTTCAAGATTCAATTTTTTTTTGTGAAACCTTTTTTTCTTCTTCATGGGGGCGGGGCTTATGTGACATGGGGTGTGGAATGATGGCTGACAGTTTTAGTGCTTGGATAAAATATTCCCAGCAAGTGCATTCGGGAACTGTGTGAACTAGAAATGTCTTTAAGGCAGAATTGATCATTTGTGTTTACTGTATGTGAATAGATAAAAAATAAAAATGATGCATTTCAAAATATTTTTTTCCGGTTTGTTCCAATTTCCATTTTTTTCAGCTTCAAAAATTTTGTTCAGATTATATTTTGTTTTTTTGTTTTGTTTTGTTTTTTTTACAAAATACTTCTTATTTTTGAACCAATTTCGTTTTAGTTTTCTAAACATGGTCAAATTCTTTTTTTTTTTATTAAAATTTTTTTTTTAACAAACTTTATGGCCCCAATAAAAGGAAAGTAGTTGTTGCTATGGCAACACAGTGTGTTTGTCTGGCAACACAATGTGTGACTGACAAATGTGCATGGCTGTAGCTCTGTGGGGCAAGCTGACATGCTATCAAAAATTTGCCCCATCTTACAAATAAATATATAAAGTCAAAACTATTTCAAAGATTTAGTGATTAATTACTTTTGTTCCACCTAACTTGTTATTCTCTGTCAGTATGATGAAGATGCAGAAAACCAGAACTTACATTTAAATGCACGTGTTTCCTCCGCCACTAGTTCACCGTTACACCCACTGCCAAATTCCAGCGAGCCTGCACTGATGCAGACTCACTACTGTCTAAGGGCTGAATGGTGCACTTGCCCTAAATGGTTTGGGAAGTATGAAGGCCCTAAATATTTATTAAACAAATCTTACTTTGTTAAATAAATGAAATATTTAGTTTGTTAAATAACTATTTAGCTCCAAATGAAATATTTAGGTTGTTAAATAAATATTAAGCTCCAAACTAAATAATTAACAAAGTGAGATTTTTGTAAATGAATGAATGACATTGTGAAAAAATGACTTGGAAAAAATAATCTCCTTGTTTTTCTCTTAAAACACGCTAAATAATCATAAATATCGCTCCTAAGTTTTGACTGCTTAACTTTACAATGGCACCCCATACATTTCTATACACTGTCTACATTTAAGACTAGACATAAAACTTTTCTTTTTGATTAAGCTAATGGTAGAGATTCAGGGTTTAGTCCTGTTTCTCTCCTACACAAACTGTGGCTATGGTTCAGCATTTATTGTGCCTAACTGCATGTTCTCTCTTTAATCGCTTTGAAATGAAAACTGGCTCAGAGCGCATCTGTTTAACTCTTTCTTTCCTAGACAGATCCACCTGTGGAGTGAGTGTACTATTACCTTTTTAAACATAGAAAGTATTTATAGATCAGTGATTAAATGCTTTTTTTTTTTCTGCCTGCTTCTATCTCTTGAATACTGAGCCAGGTTCCTTCCTGTTAAAAGGGAGTGTCCTCTTCACTGTTGCTGCATTCATGCTTGGTGTGAGAGTCAACAACACACTGCAAGTGAATATCTACTGTCTTTAAATGCTCATCAAGGAGGAGCAAATCCCACATTGATTGTATGCAATCCCCTGAATTTCCTTTGACAGAAAACTTTTTCTCCATCTGAATTTATGGCTTGATTGGATTGTCTCTGTAAAATGCCTTGAGATGACATGTGTTGTGGCATTACAGTACATGAATATACAGAACTGAATTGAATTAAAGCAAGTCCATTTTATAAGCTATTAACTATGCTATTTTTTTCCTTCATCAAAATCATGCACAAAGTGGTATTTCATTTGATTAATGCATCTCTGAGTAATCGTCATGGGTTTTGCTGTCTGAGCAGCTGCCCTTCCCTCACTAATGATGGGATGTATTTAGGTGTGACTAAAAAGAGTTTTCATAACAGCTTTAGTTATAATACAACCAACCAGCCAAGGCCATGCAGGCTTTAGATCTTTTTTTCTGTAAATTTAAAAAGAAGAAGCATTTATGAAGTAAATAAAATAAAAAAACACAAATTCTTTCCATGGACCCGGTTGCCAAATAAAGTAGTTGTTTGGCCACTAGGTGGCACTATGGGAAATATAATTCCTACAGGACCTAGACGTGTTTTTTTATATATATATATATATATATCACACTGTATCAGGTGATCCTATCAAGAAGCTGTGATTCATGCTTACTTGATGTGACCAGATCCATCCTGGTGCAGTCTGTGGTGTCTGTGGTGATGGGGCAGTAGTACACCGCGCCTGTTTCATTAACATTTGGAAGAGAATTGGCTTTTTCTTTGGGAGCTCCAGCAAGAAGCCTGGAAGGACAAAGAAACAGAGGCAGACGCAATCATTAAGATCATGTTGGGGATGTTGTTAGAAGACACAAGATAGAGACACAAGCTTGCATCAAAGATTATCTGACAGATTATCTAATCTCTGAGTTTTAACGCATAACAAGCATTTTAAAACCTGCATGCAGTTAATGTAAAGGCAGTGTGACATCCAAGACTTGGAGAGTCAATAAATAAATAAATAAGAACCCAAAGCAAAACAAAACAGAAAAGGCCATTTCAGTTTATGTGACCTTTAAAAGACAAAAAGAAAAAAATGAGCAAGCAGTCAGAGCAAGTCAGGGCAACAAACACACACTAACATGGACACTCCCTACCACAGAACCTTTTAACACAGCAGTGAACTTTGAAGTAGAGTGATTGCTCTCCTGCCAGGGCTCACACTGTTTATCGTAAGCACAAGAATTATTCACTGCACTCTGTAGGTGAAAGGTGCTGGTAATCTGTTTACAGAGTGTTACTGAGAGAGAAATGATCTGAGAGCTGAAAAAAAAACTTCAGTAGTGTGGCTTTACCTCTGGTTAACTTTTGATCTTTTAACAAGACAAGTTCACTTTGTTAATACTTCTTTTGGTGTATAATGAGACAATCTACCTGGCTTAAGTACATAATATTCCAAAAAAGTTAAAAAACAATTTACTGGACTTTGTTTCCAAGTTTAAAGATGTTTTGCTTCCCATCCAGGAAGCTTTTTCCAATTCAAATCACCTAATATTGGGTTTCATAAGATTCGCACACAAAAGGTGAATCTGTAAATAGCTTAGTGTTACTCATTTAGGGTGGAACTAGTCCATACAATGTGCAGTTCATGTATCTCTTGAACTAAAGCGGTCGTAATGCCAAAACATACTTGAAATTAGGGATGAAACAATTAAAGCGATTAATTGATAATTAAAATAATCGTCAACTAATTTAGTCATTGATTAACCATTAAATGGAGTATAGAGACTCTAAAAAACGCCTTTAACTGACAGAGTGATCCACTTAGAGCAGTAATTATACCAAGATTGCAAAAATACATAAATATTTTGCATTTAAGATAAAAAAAAAAAATTAAAAAAAATGTCAGTATGCTCTTTTCTGAAGTCCTCAAATGGAAAAACTTGAGTTTCACTTGGTTTAATGTAGTAAAAAGTCTACTTTAAGGAACCTTTGCTATCTGATGATTAATCGATGAATTGGGAAAATAACTCACAGTTTAATCTATTTGCAAAAAAATCATTAGTTGCAGCCCTACTTGAAATGCCCATTTTGTTTGTGCTTAAGAAATGTTCATTAAAAACAATC